TCTGTAGAACCAGTGAAAGCCTTGGGATCTGAGCTGCTTCACTCCACTCCTACAGACTGCAGGGGTGTCCTGGAGATAGCAGGGAGGTCTCTGGGTGCCTGCCTGCCATCCACCCTCTGCAGACTGCAGGGATGTCCTGGAGATAGCAGGGAGGTCTCTGGGTGCCTGCCTGCCATACACCCTCTGCAGACTGTAGGGGTGTCCTGGAGAGAGCAGGGAGGTCTCTGGGTGCCTGCCTGCCATCCACCCTCTGCAGACTGCAGGGATGTCCTGGAGATAGCAGGGAGGGTGGTGGTCTCTGGGTGCCTGCCTGCCTGCCATCCACCCTCTGCAGACTGCAGGGATGTCCTGGAGATAGCAGGGAGGTCTCTGGGTGCCTGCCTGCCATCCACCCTCTGTAGACTGCAGGGCTGTCCTGGAGAGAGCAGGGAGGTCTCTGGGTGCCTGCCTGCCATCCACCCTCTGTAGACTGCAGGGCTGTCCTGGAGATAGCAGGGGGGGTGGTGGTCTCTGGGTGCCTGCCTGCCTGCCATCCACCCTCTGCAGACTGCAGGGGTGTTCTGGAGATAGCAGGGGGCAGGGGTGATCTCTGGGTGTCTAATATCCAGGCATGAATGGAGGAATGTTGGTATTCTCGAAACAAGTCACTGAGTGTGCACGTGATTGTGTCAGCTGTCTGCTGAAGTGTGGATTAAACTTCACAGGAAGAGCCTCTAGAACAGGTGGGCAATTTGTATTTTTGTTTTTCATCAAATTACTGTTTGGTTTATTTTAAGAGTGCAGGCCATGCTCCCACCCCCCCCCCCCCAGAGGTAATACTCATGCATAGTTAACATACAATGTTCTAGTTGAAGAAGCTGTTATGGATGTATTTTTAACCTTGTTCTAAAGGCTTTCTATGAATAAGGTTCTTTAAGTTCTGGAAAGGGAGTGTGGTTCCCTTCAATCCAGCTTATTGTGTTTCAGTTCAGACTGAGATCGTGGGAATTCGGCTTCTCCCTCTAGAGCGGCGGACTCACCCCTGCTTCTCACCGAGAGCCCAGGGACAGGAAGCTTCTTGTCAGCCTTCTCCCTTCCTACTCTGTTCCCATTGTTTGCCTTCACAGTTGAGTTGCTCCCCTGGAGCTGTGACAGGACTTCCTGAGGACTGTTCATGTGTCCAGCTTTTCCTGGAGAAGATGGACTCAAGTGACAAAGGCATGGGGTGGGGGGAGGCGGTGTGTGTCAAAAAAGCCAACACTACCATGTTGAGAAAGAAACTAGATCATTTCAGTCAAGCAAGAATCCTAGCATCCTTGGGTAAAGTTCTATGTGTTCTGTGAATCCCACCTTTGGTTAAAGAACCAATCTAAAGGAACATCCCTGATACACAGTTACTGACTTATAGTTACATCCTGTCTCCCGACCCACTGTTAGTCAAGCTGGTCCCCTGAGCATTGCCAGTGACCATGGCTGGGCATCCTTAGCCATCAAACTGTTTTTGTCAATGCCCCGCTGCCATCAAATTCCACAAAGCAGACATCACCTGGTATGAAGTGGCTCTTTTAAACCATGTGTCCAGAAACACCCATGGGAAGAATGTGAACAACCTACCAGGAAGTCCTCCCTTACTCACTGAACAAATTCTGTGCATTTGTTTGATGTTTAGGATTATGCTGTCCTCTGGGGCTACAATCGTGACCAGAACAAACAGGACTGCTCACGCAGTCACAGTCAAAATTGATGTTGGCTGCTGCATCTTGGACGTATTGAAGATGACCAGTTGCAGTAGCTCTTTTAAAAGCCCCTCAGGGCCGAGCATGGAGGTTCGTGCCTCTAAAGGATGACCAGTAACTTAGAGTTCCGGGATGGAGCCTTGCACTAAAGAAAATGTGCTGAAAGTAAGAGAGTGGGATGGAGGCGGTAACCAAGCTGATGTGGATCAAAGTGGGAAAGAGAAGACACCAAAAGCCATCTGCAGGGTATTTTAATAGAGGGTACAAACAGCACCAGAATGAACTCTGAAGGTGACAGGAACCCGGTCTAGTCTCACCTCAACACTTTGGGGAAACTAATTTTGCATAAAAATAAGCAAAAATAGTATCAAGGTCACATCCGTAATGGAACAGGGAGCAGATTACCACATAGGGAATTCAAGCATGCCAGAAACACCCAGGAAACTGCAGCTCACAGTAGCACAACAATGGCATGGAATATCTAGGATTAGAAATGGGCCAGTAAGATGGCTCAGCAGCAGAAACACCTGCCACTAAGCCTGATAACTGGAGTTTGATTCCCAGGATCCACTTAGTGGAAGGATCGACTCTTCTCACAAGTTGTTCTCTGGCCTAACATGCACCATGGCATACACCCCCACCCCCTACACACACATAATAAATAAAATATTTAGAATTAGGTTAAGAGAACTCAGAAAGGATTTAGAGATTAAAATTCAGAATTGCAGAGTAGAAACATAAGAGCAGGTACAATGATGCTTCAAAAGAGAAGCTGCAAAGGGGAATATTAAAACAAAACAAAAAACAAGTCCCAGGGACTGCACTCAGGTGCTCAGAGTGGTCCAGCGTTTGGCAGGCTGTCATAGGTTTCCTATGATACATCTTCTAACAAAACTTTGTTGTCCCAAACCCCTGGTCATAGGGTTGTTTACTTTTTTTTTTTTTTTTTTTTTTTTTTTTGAGCCAGGGTTTCCTCTATAGCTCTGGCTATCCTGGAACTCACTTATATTTATTTATTTTGTATAAGTGTTCTGCCTGCATGTATCCCTGCAGGCCAGAAGAGGGCACCAGATCTCATTTTAGATGGTTGTGAGCCACCATGTGGTTGCTGGGAATTGAACTCAGGACCTCTGGAAGAGCGGCCAGTGCCCTTAACCGCTGAGCCATCTCTCCAGCCCGGATTGTTTACCTTTATTCCAAACTTATGAGAAGGTTTATTTTGGCTCAGGATTCCAGGAGTTCTAGTCCACCATTTAGAAGCAGCTTTGGGACTCTGGCAAGGGCTCCACACCCTGCCAAGAGCATGTGAGAGAGCAAACGTCCCCCAGAGCCAAGCAGTGGAGATGGGACTCCACAGCTCCCTTCAGGGAGTACCCTAGTCACATAAGCATCTCTGCTAGGTTCCAACCCTACCCCAAAGCATCACCCTGGGGACCAGCTTTTATACCCTGTCTGGGGAGGATACTCATCCAAATCGTAGTCCTTGAGCATGAGATATTTAATTGCTCATAGAAATAACTTTATGAGGGAGAAATTATGCTACATACTGTCACAGAATTGAAAATTTTATACTGTTTTTTACAATGAATACACATTTTAAAAAAATGTTTTCAGCATCATTTGGTATCGTCTCTGTGGTGTATATTAATATGAAATTGAGCAAGTATGTTTGTGTGGGATATTTGGGTTTTATCCAGATTCTCAGAATGGAATAAAGAAGCTACAGCTGTCAAGCTAAAACAAAACTCTTGACTACTGAATTTCAATTGGCAGTCACAGTAGGATCCATAAGCCATATTGTGTATGGAAAAGAACACACAGTAATTTATTAACCGTGGCTACCAAAGAGCCCTCCAAAACATGATCAGCTAAAGGAGAGTCCCTAGCACCTGCACTTTGAAGTCCCCTTCTCATTAAATGACAGCACAGCTTGTGGACATAAAGCTAATTCCAGGTGTGAAGCAAAAAGTATACAGATGATCCTGCAAGGTCTCGTCACGGCAAAGAACCTACTGAATGTGACGAGGTTTTTGTCAAAAGCGTCGTGACGGCAGCTTGAATACCACAGGCAAAAGTAGGAGAGTTTCAGCTTCAGCGATAACTGCAACAAATCGAAACCTGCTCCTATGTTCAAATGCACAGCTTCATTTAAAATAGGTCGGTCACCTTGGGGTGGGGAGAGGGAATCTTGCCAACTTGTAAGTAAAGGGAGAAAATCCCGTTCATCCTACCCATGGTGTACCAGAGACCAATGGCAGATGAGCTAATGATGGACAAGGAAGTGAGAAAATACCAGGTATTCAGTTACAACCCATTGAATTAATATGCTTCAAGAAACTGCTATTGGCAGCATTCAGAGATAACTAGTGTCCTCTGAATTCAGCTCCCAGCAAACTCAAAGGATACAGGACCACATCGTGAGCCTCTATCAGAAATATCAGAAATATCCAGACTGTGAGAACTGTGGGAAAAGAACATGTGGAGAAGAGCATGATAAACGTGTGTATCTTTTCTCAGTTAAGACTTAAGCATGGTATAGAAACAAAGTCAATGGCCAAAATTTAATTATTTGGCATTTTGTTACATTTTCTTATTATCTGCACTTTTCTATTGTTCTTTATTGTTGTTTGTTTTTGAGACAGAGTCTAACTAAGTAGCTTTGGCTGACCTGGAACACTCGATGTAGACCAGGCTGGCCTCAAGCTCACAGAGATGCACCTGCCTTGGTCTCTCCAGTGCTGAGCTCAAAGACTTTGAACCTTGTCCAGCTTATCTGCACTTGGAGGACATACTATATATGCTGGAATTCCTCTATGATGTGGACACCCCATATGGTTCCCCTAATCAGTGTGTGGTGACATCACGGTAGCATTTAGACCGACTTGGATTCATGGATTGTTTGATTTGTCAAAACAGCCGATGGAAGGAGTGTTGATGCTGATGAGAGTTGAGAACATGCCTGTCTGGTTCACACTGTGAGCAGCACAAGAACTGACAGAATATTCTCCCAGTACTCCAAGACGGTGACGTCATTCAGCAGGGAAAGACGGATCACCCACAAGGGAAGTGCTGACACATGCCTTAATTGTCCTCTTTTGTTTTCTTGTTGATGCAAATGAAATATCCGCCAACATGCATGCCAGATTACATTCATTAATCAATTGTAACCGTGGGATGGCTGCAGGGACAAGAATTTTTGGGAAAAGTCAATAAAAACACCAAGAATAAATTGTTCATGTGGAATTTGCCATAAAGAGTGTTATAAATAAAATATGCATCACTAAATTCATTTATGTATGTGTATTTTGTGCTAGCTATTAAACAGCACATTTCTGGAAATGTAAATGTTAGTAATCAATGTTAGTTGCTTTTGCTATTAGCAAGGTAATAGAATTATTACAGCCACAGAGGAGCAAGGAAGCACTAGAACATGGAGTTTTGCTACAATGAAGCATGATACGTACACAATGCCACCCACATAGGAGGACTGGGGTCTGTTTACTCAGTATGGACTACACAACATGCTCAGATATGATTCACAGAGTCAAGGGCCTTCATTCATCCTGACAAAGAGTAGAGGTTTGAAATCAAGTCCCACCCTGCTGCTAACCTTCAGAAGGGCGCAGCTATGTGGTTACTTTTAGCAATGTTAGTGTGGGCGTAGAAATGAGAGGAAACTTGGGAGGCCAGGATCCCTTTCTTCTGAAGTTCGTAGGAAATGGAATAAGGTGCTAGACTTAGCCAGCTGTGAGGGGTCTGATCTCAGCTAACTCAGAGGCCTGAGAGTTCCAAAGCAAATCGTCCAGTGGGGACGTGTTTAGGAGGGGAGATTACAGATCACTTTTAATGAGAGCAGGGGTAGGAGAAGAGCGAGGACACAAAGAGGTGTGCCTGTCTGGGACGCTCTGACCGATGCAGGTGACAGCAAGAACTTCAGGTGCCCTCGTGGAGCACATCATCAAGATGCCCATGCAACAGTACAGCTTTACGAGGATGTTAGGAATTCTTTGTGAAGGTTAAGAAAGCTGCTCAGGAGAAGGCACTTCTGAACGATAGCCAGAGTCCCAGCAAGCAGTGCTGGGTAAAACAAGGCAGAGATGGATGGATCCCAGAGCCAAGGAAAGCCATGGAAATAAGGCAGCAGTTCAGATGGGCTCATCTCCAGACCAGACCGACTCTGGTGCACTTCTCTCTCTAGAAGAACCTGTCGACAGAAACCCAAAGCATGTCCCTGATGCTGGGATAGGAGTGCAGAGAGCATCCACAAGCATCAGTTTAGGAAGGAAAACTCTCGAGCATGGTGCTGGGCACATGTAATCCCAGAGCTAGGGAAAGTTGAGGCAGGATGACTAAGTTTGAGCCAAGCCTGGGCTGCATAGTGAGGCCCTGAAAAAAAAAAAAAGATTTGAAAAATATTGTAATCAACAAAGTCTTGTATGAAACTGCATTCAATGTCTTAGATAACACTTAGCCCCTGGTACTTCTTGGTGTAATAGCTGCTACGAATATAAATAAATGGTTTCATGGGGGCTCTGCTGGTATTAACAAAGCTGACCGGTTTGCTGCGTTGCATACTGGATACGTCAGCACTGGAAAGATGTACACTCGGTGATCCTACACCATCCAGTGAAGACCAGTGTATGAAGACAGAGGAATGAAGGTAGTTGTAAGCTCTCTTCAAGGTGCAAGGTAGATTTTAATTTGCAAGTTAAGGATGGAAACTTTGACTTCTACTTGCCATGTTCTGGTGTAGTATGAAAGAACGCTGCCTACGATGATTGGGGAAAAGTGGTTTAAACACTCCTCTCTCTAGCTACAGGAGGTTAAAGGGCCCCAAACAATCAGAGCAACAGATCAAACAATGCTGAACTAGATCCGACAACCCCTGGCTCCTGTTGGCCCAAGTATTAATGAACTTTAGAGATTTATAAAAGAATAGCTGTGTTGTTTTGAAAACATACTTATTTTCATAAGACACGACCTGAACTAGATTTATTTTTTATAGTATTTTAAGCTCTGTGTCTTTGCTTTTAATATGATGAACAGCAATAGATAGAATCCAGAGAAGCAATTTTCGTCCTGAGCAATCTCACAGTGTAACCCAGGTGACCTGGAGCTTGCAACATCCCTGCCTCAGCCTCCCAAGAGCTGGAATCATAGGTGTCAACTTCATGGTGTGAACAACTTCGTGGTGTGAACAACTTCATGGTGTGAACTTCATGTGTGAACAACTTCATGGTGTGAGCAGTAGTCTTTTTTTTCTCTCTTCAAGGTCTGATCATTTATTTGTTGCTTTTAGATTTGTTGGTTTTTTATTGGATTCAGAAGGTGAAGCTCTCAGGGAGGACAGCCTCTGTCTCTTGGCAATCCATTACTGGTGTTTTCTTTGGCTTCCTTCATTCACTTGGCCAAAAGTCTAGCATATTCTACAGCCTCCTCCTCATTTTTCTTAGTGTGTTGTAACAAGCTGCTGCATCTTGGCTGCTTTGGTCCTGGGCTCCTTACCCTCTTTGTTTAAGGGCTTTCTGACCACATACTGGTGGACATCATCTGTAGAGAGATTGGAAAGCTTTCAGACTGCTGGCTCTTGTGGGCCCCAACTGCTGAGCACAGTGGTATCTGTCAGTCCAGGATTTTCCTTCTCTCCTTTTATCTCTCCCACAATAACCAATTTGAGAGCACTCAGCTTGGCATCCACAATTCACCCCCTAACAGACTCACACTTCTTCTCTCTACTTCTCCTTGGTCTAGAATGAGAATGCCCTTCATTCACCAGTGCTCTGCAGAGGGTCAAGACACCTGGCTTTATGGGAAAACCTTGCTTGTCATTCCCACCACTGATTCGGACCACATGACCCTTCCACTCTTCACCTAGAGTATCAGCAGCTACTTCTTCTCATGGAAAGCATGACATCTGTGGTCATTGTCCACTTCTGTGAGTTCCTGACAGCTGGTGGATGCAAAGAGATAGTCAGCTTCATCTTGATGCGGCTGACACCTAGGAGGTCCCACGAGAAAAGAACTGAGTGGTTTTTTTGATTTTTCTTAGCATTTTCATCCTATTTAATTTTTACAAGCTGATTTTAAAATTATTTTATTTTGTGTGTATGAAGTACATGCCTGTTGCCTATGGAAGCAAAGGGAGGGCATTGGCTTCCCAGAAACTGGAGTTAGAGATGGTTGTGAGCTGCCATGTGGATGCTGAGAACCAAACCCAAGTCCTCTGCAAGAGCAGAAAGTGCTCTTACCTGCTGCACCGTCTCTCGAGCCCCAAATAAGCTATTTTTCTAAGTGATCGTGATGCCACTGACTTGAGATGACACCTTTATCATATACTGAATTCTGTGCATATTTTGCCTTTGGACATTTTCTCTGTGCCATTGGTCTATCAATTCATGTGTACCTGTTGAAATTTGAGGTATAGTTTTACTGACCTGCTTTCTCCTTTCCTGTGATCCCTCCTTTCAACAACCGCCTTGGTTTACTTGCTCATACTTTTCATGGGAATTTTGGGTATCACAGGTCAGCTTCCCTTGTATGCTTGCCTCAAACAGGGGAATGTGTGTCTCAGCCTGAGTTCTGCTGCCAGCTCAGTCACCAGCTAAGATGGCTATGATCAGGGCTGCAAGAAGGAAACATTTTCCTGGTTCCTGCCAATGTGACACAAGATGTGGGAACTGAGTAATCTGCGGGTGGTGTCATCCTGTATAAGTATTGCTTTGTTTGTATTATGGCAGCAGAGGGTAAAATTAGAATACAGTATTTATTATTATTATTGTTATTATTATCATCATCAAGTTCAATGTAGTTCAATGAAGAAGTTCCACCAACCAAAATTCATAGGAGCCTGCTTCTTGAGATGGTTCTGTGTTCTCTTACTTGACCAGTATCCTGCCCCACCAGGTAGTTACTGTCTAGACTGAGAGATGACTTTGCTCTGATAGGCTCCGAGAGAGAGAGAGAGAGAGAGAGAGAGAGAGAGAGAGAGAGAGAGAGAGAGAGAGAGAGAGAGAGAGAGAGAGGAGAGAGAGAGAGAGAGAGAGAGAGAGAGAGAGAGAGAGAGAGAGAGAGAGATTGTGTGTGTGTGTGTGTGTGTGTGTGTGTGTGTACACCACAACATGCATGTAGAAACTGGAGGACAACTCACCGAAGTCATTTCTCTTCTTTTACCACATAGGTTCTGGGGATGGAGCTCATGTCCTCGGGCTTGGTGGCAAGTGTCTTTACCTGGTGAGCCATCTCACCAGCCCTGCTGTCATTATTATTATACCATCCCTCTCATAGGTTCTTCTCTGAGGTAGGATGAGCCAGGACTAACCTTCTTAGGCTTCAGGACATAATTGAACTTCACAGAGAAGGACATCTGAAAGACCCTCCCTGCTGACATCAGACCATGTGGACCTCTTGGGGCCCTGCCTGTTATCCAGCTCTTCATAGACTGGTTTGACCAAAACTTTTCAAACAAGTGTGATTGAAGTGTAATGATCTAGTCCCCAACTGTGATAGCCAGCTCTACTGTTAGTCAGGAGATGACTTACAAAGAGAAAGGATGATCTTGACTCGCCATTGTGAGGTCACAGTTGGTGGTCAGCTGGCCTACTGTCTTCGGGTGTGCATTTATTTATTCTTTCAGAATAAATATTAGAAATAAAACCTTCCCATCTGAAAAAACTATTTGGGGCCTAGGGAGAAGGTTCAGTTGATAAAGGGCAGGCTACATGAGAATGAGGACCTGAGTTTGGTCTCCAGCACCCACTTAAGAAAAAAGAAGAAGAAGAAGCTGGGTGTGGTGGCATTCAATAGCTGAAGAGGTGGACACGGGCAAATCCTGGGCCTAATCAGTAAGCCTAGTGAGAGACTCTCTCAAAACCGTGGTGGATGGCTCCTGAGCAATGATGCCTAATGTTCTCTGGTCTCTCAAGTGTGTGTACACAGCTGTGTGCACACACTGTCCTTCCCCACACAAAATATTTATAATAGAGCGTTATCTCAATTGGTGTGTGTTCATAAATTCAATTTCTGAAGGCAAAGGGACATAATATTCTGTTTTCATTATCTTTGAGTGAACTTATACTTGGGTCTAGAGCACTTGAGGCTTTTCATGTTGACGTAGGATTTTCTTTTTCCTCTTTTTTCAGAGTTATGTTCTCACCATGTAGCTCTGGTTGTCCTGGAACTCACTATATAGGCCAGGCTGCCCTTAAACTCACTTGGGAGGCCTGCCTCAGTCTCCTGAGTGCTGGAATTAAAGTTGAGTGCCATTCCGCCCAGCTAACATAGCATTTTCTTCTTTCTTTCTTTCTTTCTTTCTTTTTCTTTCTTTCTCTCTCTCTCTCTCTCTCTCTCTCTCTCTCTCTCTCTCTCTTTCTTCCTCCCTCCCTCTCTCTTTCTTTCTTTTTTTTTTTTTTGAGATAGGGTTTCTCTGTGTAGTTTTGGTGTCTGTCCTGGATCTCACTCTGTAGATCAGGCTGGCCTCCAACTCACAGAGATCCACCTGTCTCTGCCTCACGAGTGCTGGGATTAAAGGCGTGCGCCACCACTGCCCGGCTAACATAGCATTTTTAATGACGTACTCCTGTGTAGTTATGGGTTGGCATAACTAGCACAGAGCTGTTAACTCAGTTAAAATGTCTACATTCTGCTCAACATTCAAAAGGAAAGGAGAGAAGCATCTCTTGCTACATGAATACACAGTGTGCCGGCTTTTCTGCCTCCCCTAAATGCAGTGACGTAGTGCCATATCTGTTGTCAAGAAGATGCATACTGTCTTAGGGTTTCTATTACTGTGATACAAAACACCATGAGCAAGGGGAGGAAAGGGCTCATTTCCGCTTTCTACTCATTAATGGAGGGAAGTCAGGACAGGAACTCAAGGCAGGGACCTGGAGGCAGGAACTGAAACGGAAACCCCAGAGGACCACTGCTTACTGGCTTGCTCCTCATGGCTTACTTAGCCTGCTTCCTTGTATACCCCAGGACCACCTGCTCCAGGGTGGCACCATCCACAGCGGGTTGGATTGCCCCATATCAGTCACTAATTAAGCTTTCCACAAGGCAATCTGATGGAGGCATTGTCTCAGTGTGGTTCCCTCTTCCCAGATTAGTCTAGCTGATGTCAAGTGGACAAAAAGAAAGCAGGACACACACTGTGTTCTCCAAGATGTCAAGCCTGCTTAAAACTTTATAATACTGTTTTCATTATTGGGCTGCTTAAACTTTTTCTCTTAGATAATGGTATATTTTGTTGAGAATAATTGTGCTGTCAGGTAAAGGAAAATAATCATTAAACACTGATGCTATCTTCTTGACTTGTCTAATTTCCCCGGTTCATAGCGCACTGAGGCTCGGCTGATGAAATCAAGCAGGAATGGTAAATTGCCTGTCAGAGCCATTTGTCTGCTCTGCTCATTATCTTTGGTACTAAACACACTGAGATGACTGCATACGTGTGTCTGCTTCTGCATGCGCGTACACACGCCTGTGTGTGTGTGTGTGTGTGTGTGTGTGTGTGTGTGTGTGTGCATGAACACATGTGTATGTATGTGTGTGTGTGCATGAACATGTGTGTGTGTGTGTGCATATGTATCTATTTTAATTTTAAGGAATGTAAGACAGTACCTGGAAATATCTCTTTGCAGAAGGAAACTTGGTATATATAGCCTAAAGCTAGCCATGCATAACTGAGTTCCACATTCAAAACTGATCATCAAGTTCAGTTCTTTTAGCTTTGATGGTTTCTTCTGATTGTCACTGTTTTTCTTTTTTCCTTTCCTTTTCTTTTTTTCTTTTTTCTTTTTTTTCCAGACAGGGTTTTTTTTGTGTGTGTGTATAACCTTGGCTGTCTTGGAACTCACTCTGTAGACCAGGCTGGCCTCAAACTCACAGAGATCCACCTACCTCTGCCTCCTGAGTGCATTGTTTTTCTTAAGGAATTCTACATATATGCATGAACACATTGCTAGGCCAGGCACCAAACACAAGGTTTTCCCTGTTCTTTACATAATCGAAATTGAAAAACACATTGTCAAATGTACTTAAAGCTTTCTAAAGCACAAAATAGAAACTGTAAATCAACTCCATAATAACTAAATTTTTTAAAAAAAGCTTAGGCAACACTGCCTTTGGATGCAGAGATAATGACAAAAATTTTAAAACATTTTTAAGATTATTCATCTTAAAATTATAGTCAGTTTTCTGTTAAGGTAACGAGATGCCTGATGCCATCAACTCATTAAGAGATTATTTTTTTGTTTTTGAGTTTTAGTCAATGATCAGGTAGAGTTGTATTCTGGGGGCCTCTGTTGAAGCATCTCCCATAGTAGGGAACCTCTGGTGTCACCCAGTTCATGTCATGAAGCAGAGAAGGGGGAGACTTGGAGTCACTGAACGTGGATCCCTCCCCCACAATTAATTTTGGGGCCACCTTCTGTTCATTGACATCTCTGTACTCTTAAAGATGGAGAAATCATCACAAGTGCTCTTAGAATTCTGAACGGCTCAGCAGCTGTGGATACCAGCTGCTCCTCCAAAGGACCCGGGTTTGATTCCTTCAAGGCCGCTCACAATCATCTGTAACTCCAGTTCCAGGGGACCCAGCTCCTGTTTCTAGCTTCCACAGGCACCAGACATATCTTACATAAGTTAAATAAATTAAAGAAAAAAAAGAATTCTAAATACCACAAAAGGGAGGGACATCACAGCCGGCCTTGTCTCTAAAATCCCAGGCAGAAGGGAGAAGGTGGAGGTTGCAGGCTTTGGTCGGGACCAGCAGAAATATTATTTACTCCTGCCAAGGTGTGACTATTTCAGAGACTTCTGCATTTGTTTTCTTAATTTTTTTCATTTATTTTACATCCTGACTGAAGCTTCCCCTCCCCCTCCTCTTGTTCTCTCCCTCCACCTCCCCTCTCCCCACTCCCCCATCCACCCCTCCTCTATCTCTGTTCAGAAAGGGTCAGGCCTCCCATGGGTACCAACAAAGAATCTACCCTGTTACACGATTTCTGGTCAGGAGAATAGGATTTGAGTTGTGACTCAGGCCCTGGGTGGAGACATTCTAAACTGCCATTGTCCCCTCCCTCCCTCCAGAGTTCACCCAAACCTGCTTGCCAGTCACCTGGGTGGGAAGCTGTATCTTAAAGAAACATGACTTGCTAGAAAGGGTATTAATGTTGTCTCCTTGGCGGGCTGTGTGTTTACAGACCGTGGACCCCCTCCCTCAGTACAGTTTCTTATGTCTTCCCAGCTCAGCCGGCCTGCTTTTCTGAGTTCTAACTCAGCAAACATAGCTTCTACTCTTCCCTCTTCCTACCTTTCTTTTCAGACACTGGTCCAAATCCTAAGTCTACTTGTTCTGACACTGGGCGCCCCCTCTTTAAAGAAGTCTCCTCACCAAGCTGGGTGCAGAACTCCAAGGCTGAACCTGCCCACTTCCTGGTCTCTAGATCAGACAGCATGGCTCTTCTCTCCACCTGTGCGGCTCCCTTTTCTCCGCAGCATGCCTGCAGTGCTGTTTTAATTTCTCAAACTCGTTCAATCATGGAGTCTGTGTGTGTTTTAAAGTTCTCCTTTCTGGGAGACTAAGCACTTGCAGAAGAGACCATTTCCTGGTGACAGACTTAGTGGCTCCACTTTCTCTGGCCAGCCAGGCCCACCTCTTAAAGGGTCCTCCCCTGCCCAGCATGCACACAGGGGACCAGACTTCTCACGGGGGTGGGGGTGGGGGCCTGCTTTAGGGCACACTTCAGATCCAAGCTATTGGAGAAGGCTTGAGATGATTTTTAAAACCTTCCCTTAGTATCAGTTCCTTCCTGCCTGATCTTTCCACATTGGAGGACTCTTGCCCTGACTCCATTGTGGAAGACAAGAGTGAAGCCATTATGAAGCAAGGCAGATCATAGGCAAGACAGATGGTCACCAAACTTGCGGGAGAAGCACTGTGAGGTGACAGGTCAGGATGTGCTGTGATCTGGGTGTTGTTTAACTGTATGTGTCCCAGGGACTATTGTGGCTGAAGCCTTGGTTTTGCAGATGTTGCTATTGGGAAGTGACAGAATGTTTGATAATGAGGTCTGGTGAGGGTCCCTCAGTCCTTGGGGCTGTGTCCTTCCATGGGACTTGTCCTTCTTTCTTCCCCAGTTCAAGAGGGGCCTCGTGTCCTCATACATATTCTTTCCCCTGTGTGCCACCATCTGTCCTCACCACAGGCCACACCAAGTGAGGCTACCCAGTCTTGGACTTCAAACTAAAGACGTCTTTTATCTTAGTAACTCAAACTGGCTTTCTCTACTAAATCTGGGTTCTTGCCAAATTACCTTCACAGCTATGCTCTGGTGAACCCTGAGTTCTCCTGGTGATTTTGGAGGGTCACAGATAGAAGAGGATCTCTGCTGCCCAACCAAGTGGTCACTTCCAAGATGGATGCCTGGCCCCAGGGAAGTCCTGGGTGAAGTAGCACCCCAGGGCAGGCACAGCTGCAGGGTGTGTCGGTAGCCAGGTGGTGTACACCTGTAATCCTGGTACTGGGGAGGCTGAGACAGGAGGGCTGTGAGTTCAAGGCCAGCTGAGCTATATAGTCATATCCTGTCTGTGATGTGATAACTAAGTGAGTAAATAAGTAAATGGTTCCTGAGGCAGATGGAGTATATGCATATTCCACAGTTTTTAATTACAGCTGAAGTAAATTGCTTGCATTTTAAAAAGATTTATTGAAAGAACTTAAGAAACTAAACATCAAAAAAACAAACAACCCAGTTTTAAAAAATGACCTTTGAGATGAAGCAGAACGTTCTTAAAAGAAGAAATACACGTGACTAATAAACATTTTTTAAAAAACATACTCAACATTTTTAGCCAGCAGGGAAATAAAAATTAAATCACCTTTGAGATTCTGCCCTATCCTAGTTTGTAGATGAACAGTCTTTTTTTTTTTTTTTTTGGTTTTTCGAGACAGGGTTTCTCTGTGTAGCTTTGCGCCTTTCCTGGAACTCGCTTTGTAGCCCAGGCTGGCCTCGAACTCACAGAGATCCACCTGCCTCTGCCTCCCAAGTGCTGGAATTAAAGGTGTGCGCCACCACCGCCCGGCTGAACAGTCTCATTAAATAAGAAACACAGAGCCAATTGCAGAGTTAAAAGCCCAAGAGGTCAGAGCAATAGCTGAGAGCTGAGCTTACCCTTCGCTGCCGCTGCTGTCCTTCCTCTTAGCACTACTCCCTGTGTATCTGTCTTTTTTTTTTTTTTGGTTTTTTCGAGACAGGGTTTCTCTGTGTAGCTTTGCGCCTTTTCCTGGAACTCACTTGGTAGTCCAGGCTGGCCTCGAACTCACAGAGATCCGGTATCTGTCTTTTTATAGACTTTCTGTTCTGCCTTCTCATTGGTTGTAAACCCAACCACATGACCTCCTCATCACTGCCCATCTATACAGACCTCCAAGTCTTCTATGGTTGGTATTGAGATTAAAAGCGTGTGTTTCCATGCTGGTGGTATCCTTGAACACACAGAGATCTGCCTGTCATGTGATTGGGATTAAGGGTGTGTGCTATCACTGCCAGATTTCTGCTATGGCTTGCTATTAGCTCTGACCCCCAGGCAACTTTATTTATTAACATACGAATAAAATCATATTTCAGTTAGAATGGCTAGTCTCAAGAAAATAAACAACAAGTGTTGGTGAGGATTTGGGGAAAGGAGAAACTTTATGTATTGATTGTGGGAGTGTGAACTGTGTGGCCGCTATGGCAGTTAGTGTGGAGGTTTCTCAAAAAGCTAAAAAAAAAAAAGCCATCATGTGAGCCAGGTATAATATTCCTGGGCAAATACCCAAAGGACTTCATGTTTTATTAGAGGGGCTTGCACATCCGTGTTCGCTGTTGCTCTGTTCACAATAGGTAGGAAATAGAATAAACCTAGATGTCCACCAGCTGATGAATGGATGATGGAAACGTGGTACATACACATAATAGAATTTTATTCAACTATAAAAAAAGGAATGAAATGATGAGTTTTACATGCAAATGGATGGACCTAGGAAATATCGCAAATGAAGTAACCAAGGCTCTGAAAGACAAACACCACATGTTCTTTCACATGTATGGACCCATGCTTCAAATGTCTAAACATTGACGTGTGTGCTTACCTGGGGCTTCTATAGAGGTCAGGGAACTAGAAAGGACACACAAAGGGGAGGGGAAGAGGCCTTAATGGGGAAGGAGGCGTGGAACACATAAGACCTGGAAGTGTGAAGCAGGTACTGGGAATCAAAGGTTGGAGTGGAAATAAGGAAAGGGGGAGAGGGGAGAGGAGGAGGAGGTGAGAAATGGGTTGACTAAAACTGAGGAATGAGAAGGACATATGGAAACCTACTTTAAAAATACAGTGTCCACAGGTACAGTAGTGGCGTGACCAATATGGGGATGACCAACCACTTTCTTATTGAGTTTGAAGCCTGCTCTACAGGAGGGATGTTTTGCCCAGTACTGTAAACCTGGTGGAAAGCCAATGGCTGAGGAGATCAAAGGCTTGGTGTATGTGTGTGTGTGTGTGTGTGTGTGTGTGTGTGTGTGTGTGTGTGTGTGTGTGGCTTTGCTAAATGAACATGTTGTCAAACACGCTTTTCTACCCACAGGTGGTGCAGCTCTCAACCTTGGTCAGAGAGGTTTCTCTCTGTAGTAGGAAGCAGTTATTGCAGAGACACCAGTCAAAGTGCTGAGGACAACTGATTGTTGAGGGCTCACTCCTAAACAGAACATCTGTGCCACCCACTCCAAGGATGAGGGGATATCTCAGAAAGCGAGATGTGTAAGCGCTGGATAATGGGATGGAAGGGGTTAAATGCTGTCTTTTGGATATGACAAGGCCATGACCCTCATGAACTCATGGCAGCTGTGGTTGCCAGCCCAAGACCTATAAAGGTCAAGCCAGCCAGAGTCCTGGCATTGGTGGGAGAGAGACTCATGAGGCTTCAGTCTACCTGAGGAGCTATTGGCCATCGATTGCTGCTGGGACAAGGAGTCACTTTTCTTCAAGGGTGTGGCTCCTGGCAGTTGCCCATGTTTGTATGGGCAGCAGTAATTGGACTCAGTGTAAAGAGGACATGAAGGTAGGGGAGTGATGTGTTGTGGGGGGCAGAAGGGAAGTGGGGGGGGCGGTCAGAAGTGGACATGATCAAGATACATTGTATGCATGGATCAAATTGTCAAAGAATAAATAAAAATATTTAAAAAAAATAAAAACGTGGTGTTTTAAAAAAAATTTTAATAAATTTTAAAAATATTTTAAAAAAAGTTTACTTATACTTACCTACCACAAAAAGGAAAAAGCTATGATGGAATTAAAACTAGGAGAAAACAAGGCTTTATATTTTTATTTTTTCATGACTCATGTGAAAAAAAATGTAGTTTTTTGATAACAAAAGTATAAAACCCTAAGTGAAGCTCCATGACTTCAGAGTGGCCACTCTGGCTGTGTAGAAGTTTACTGAGATGCATAGATTAGCTTCCCTAATGTAGCTGTGCCATGTTTTTATTTTTGATTTGAGCTAATAAAAATAAAGTGGTTTTATTTATTTATTTATTTATTTATTTATTTATTTATTTATTTTTGTTTTTTTCGAGACAGGGTTTCTCTGTGTAGCTTTGCGCCTCTCCTGGAACTCACTTGGTAGCCCAGGCTGGCCTCGAACTCACAGAGATCCGCCTGGCTCTGCCTCCCAAGTGCTGGGATTAAAGGCGTGCGCCACCACTGCCCGGCTGGTTTTATTTATTTTAAAAATAAAAAATTAAGAGTTAAAAATGATCTACATACATGTCTGTGTGTCTATGTGAGTGAATGTGTGTGTACTCACACATAGAAATCAGAAGAGGACAGTGGATCCTTGAAGCACTCTTAACTGGTAAGCCAATTCTCTAGCTACTAAATTTCTCAAACTTTTAGGACTTGAATTTCTTCATAGGTAGGATATAAATAGATATACCTCTTCACAGTTTTAAGAATAAGGATTAATGAGGTACTGTATGTGGAGTACTCTGCATAAGTATCTGGTTTAGAGTAAGTACCCAGCTTGACCAAGCCATTTAGCAAAACTACTCCAGCTACAATCCTAAAATAAAACTCCATTGTAGCTGGAGTTATCTCCAGTCCTGCCTGGGCCCACAGTCACTCAAACCCAAATAAACACACAGATGTTTATATTATTTAAACTGTTTGGCCTAATGGTTCAGGCTTCTTGCTAACTGTTCTTATATCTTAAATTAACCCATTTCTATAATCTATAAGTTGCCACGTGGCTTGTGGCTTACCAGTACTTGGTACTTTCACATCCTGCTTCCTCTGTATCTGGCTGGCAACTCCTGACTCAGCCTTCCTGTTCCCAGAATTCTCTTCTCTGCTTATCCGGCCTATACTATACTTCCTGCCTGGCTACTGGCCAATCACCGTTTTATTTATCAATCAATCAGAGCAACACATTCACAGCATCTCCAGCACTCCATACTTGGTATGTGGGTGCCTATATTTGTGTGCAGGCCGGAGATCAATGTCCAGTGCCCTTCTTTCTTTCTTTTTAAGATTTACTTAATTATTATGTATACAGTGTTCTGTCTGCATGTATGCCCAAATGTCAGAAGAGGGCATCAGATCTCACTATAGATGGTTGTAAGCTACCATGTGGTTGCTGGGGATTGAACTCAGGACCTCTGGAAGAGCAGCCAGTGCTATTAACCTCTGAGCCATCTCGCCAGCCCTGTCCAGTCCCTTTCTAAATGGCTTTCTACCCTATGTTTTTGAGATAGGGTCTCTCCCTGAAGCTGGAGCTCATTGATTCAGCTAGAGTGATTGGCCAGCAAGTTCTAGGGAGCCTCCTGTCTCTGTCTCCCCACTGCTGGGGTTACAGCACACACCACTGTGCCTGCCTTTTTAAAATGGTTCTGGGGATCCAACCTCAGGTCCTCATAGTTATACAGCAAGTACTCTTAAGGTGACACTGTTTTTCCAGTCTCCGAATTCCATTCATTTATATCTTGGGTTTTATTTGATCCACCAGTTGGGGTGTGTCTTTTAATTTCCTTTTATAACTAAATTTCTGAGCACTCAAGTGCCAGGCAAAGGTACAAGGTAAGCGATAAGGTTGGAACACACCCTAGTCTCATCCGCTGAAGCATAGTTTTGATAAATTCTTAGGAGTGCTACCAGATGTATTTCTAGATATTGGCAGGTGGGGTGATGCAGTTCAGTGAGGAACAGAGATATTAAATAGATGTTTCCCACCAATAAATGCAGAATTAAAAATGAATTCAAGCCCTCTGAAGCTAAGGGGCTCAGGTCTTTAAAGGTCTCACAAGGGACAAGGCTAACACTTGGGGTCAGAACAAGCGTCCCAGGAAATGCTGCTGCGGCTGAATTCAAAAGGATGAAGTTGGTCTCAGA